AGTTTCTCTATAAATAGATTTGCTAACTTATTAGTGATATACTCTCAGATTACATAGTAGAATTCTTTCTTACCAGTAAGCATGCTGTCGAACCATGTAAAATACTTGTATTCTTTTCTTTATACTTTTACTTTGGTGTGATTGTGCATGCTTTAGGAATTAATTTTCTCCAACAAAAAAGAATTAAACAGAATTAACCAATGGCGATTGTAATTGAAAGATAAAAAACATGGATTTGGTTTAATAATAGAGTGTTTAATGTAGCAGCCTCTGGAACTAAAGAAAAAAAGGAAAGAAGTAGAAGACAAAATGTATTTCTCAAACAAAAATAAAGCTGCCTTTTAAGTTTTTAGAAAGATTAAAATAAAAGAAACATACGAAAAAATTAAAATTTAAAAATCAACCAATAGGAGGATAAGATTGGGGCTACTCACTAAAAGGTCCACCAAGTTGTCTCACAGCACCTAGAAAACGATTGTGTAGCTCTCCAATCCACTTCGACTGAGGTTTCATGACAGTGGAGACAGCTAGAGGACCGCCAGCTTCCTCCTCCTCCTCTTCCGAATCCTCATCATCAATATCGTCAATAAGAACAAAATCAAGGTCATCATTTCGGGATTTGATAACTGGAGTTGCAGGCGCCATGGTTTCTTGCAGAAAAAGCAATTTGTTTGAATCACCATGATCTAGTTGGTCATGACGACCATCACGAAGCTTTCTGTAACAACTATTGCTAACCTCACAAGGACTCTCCTTAACAAAAATCTCTTACCCTTCGTCCTTCATCCCCGCACGAATCATGTCAACATTTCGATTAGTACCCATCATTTTTTCTTCTACCCTATTATCAGACATGAACCCAGGAACCAACCCAGAGAAACTGTTTTGCAATGGGACCCGATATATATAGATCCTAAGGAAACAGGAAAGAAGGGTCACACGAGAAATATCATGGGGGCGAGTAATGAGACTAAAACATGGAGGAAGAGAGAAGAAGCCAAAAAGAAACTCAACGGATATTTTTTATATGTATCTGAGAAGGTGGAGAGTGAGATATACTCACGTATCAGGATAAAAACGAAAAGGAAACCGACGAAACAAGCCAGTGAAGCTGCTGCTATGGTTACTTGGAGACTAACTAACTCAACTCTGGATCAAGGGATTAATTAACCTTTCGCTTTCTCTGCGATTTGTATATAGTAATAGGACTAAGGTTAAGTTGCACCCATAATTGTTCTTGTTCTACATGTATACACTATTGCTTCATCAGTACGTATTTGCAGTGCGACAATGAAAAATAATTGGTGGATTTGTGGCAATTTGTGTAAATATTTGATAATTGGGGGGTAACTAAATATGAATTTGGAGAATGGAAGGCGGTATAATTGTACTGTGGATTGGTTTATTTCTGAATTGTCCTGTAGCCAACGCACACAAGAGGAGTTTTTTGTTCCATTCTATTTTTATTGTTTCATTGCCTTTTCCTCTATAGCACCTTACACCAACAAATAGGAAGAAGATTAAAAAAATAATAATACGAGTATGTGTATATACATATTATGTATACAAACACCAGTATGTATTTCGTAAGTAAATGAATATGATTTGTATTTATGTTTTTGAATCATAGTTCTTAAAATTAAATTGAACTAATGGGTCCTATTGGATTTGACTGTATGATCAAAACAGTCAAAGGACTCAATTAAATAAAGATATTAAATAAGTATTAAATTTAACATAACATTTTATAATTTTTATATCAATAATGTTTATAATTTTTGTAATAGTTTATCTATATATTTTATAATATTAATTTTTTAATACTAATAAACTAGTTATTAGATAAATATATAGACAACTGATAATTTTACTATTAATAGACATCTTAACTATTTTAAAGATTATAAATAATTATATTTTGTTATGGTTATTGATTGTCATTAATTATTCGTATCAAAATTATTGAATTTGATTTAATGTTATCAGAATTCCTATAACAAATAATCATTACTGGTTAGTTGTAAATGACATAAGAGCACACGCTAATTCAATAAATTCTAAGATAATATAATATTAAAATTATGATAGGCCATTTTAGTAAATATTAATAAAAATTAATAATTTAAATAATCCAAATATTTATAACTTTAAACTTGGTAAATAAATGTATGATTGTAATTTGTGACCGTAATAAAATTATGATAATATAAATATTTATTCAAATGAGATAGTTTAACCTTTTATTTTAGAATGTGGTACCAGGCAATTAACATAAATTTTTTTTAACTCTAATCTTTATAAAGTTTTGCACTTGAAACAATTAATGTAAAAATTTAGTTGAAATATTGTTCCAAATAAGAAATATTTTAAAATTTAAATTAATAATTAAAAATGATAATTTAGATGACTATTACAATTTTTTAATACGAAATACTTATTTTTGTTTAATTGATAAATCTTAATTATTGATTAACTAATATATAAAAAATAGTAATAACATTTAACTAGATTTAATATTATTTATATAATAATTGGACAAACTCACTTTCTATTCTCACATATTAAGTAAAAAAATTAACAAAAATAACAAAATTAATTGCACATTAAATTGATTTAGAATTTTATAATATTTAAATTGTATTTAATTCTTATTCCATAAAATTTAAAATTTGAAGTAATTGACATACTCCTTATACATGAAAATATAAAGATATATAAATATAGATAAGAAATAAACTTCCTTTTCCGCGCGTGGTGGTATAGACGTATAGTGGCAGTGCGTTTGGACAACCGCCTCCAGCTGTTCTTTTATTTATTTATTTATTTATTTATATATGTCAAACTAGCCGTTGCCAATTCGTAACATCCGCTCCGCTCCCTTCTCTTCTCTCTCAGTTTCCCCTTCCAGTTCTTCTCTTTTGCTCTCTCTGCCTAATCTTTGTCTCTTTAACTAATTCAAGTTCTTGATTTCTTTGCTGTGCTTGAGTAATTTGTAAAAATAGTGTAGAGAGTGTAAAGATGTTCACAGAGGGTTCAGATGAAAATGCAATCAACTGGATCAAGAAGGGGACGGATACGGATCAAGAACCCTGCATCAGATCTCCCTTTAACAAGAATCTACCTCTTGATACATTTCCGAAATCTTCTCTTTCCTACAATACTCCTACTGCTTTCATGTCTCCTCATGGGCTGCCACCATTGAGATTCCACTCTGCCTTCTTAACTCCTCACAGCCTTGCGGCTTCTTGCCTCGATGATGAAGACAAGAGAGTGACGATTCAGTTTCTGATGGTGCCCGTGGTAGCTTCTCTGTGCGTAAAGAAGAGGAGGAGGAGGTTTTGGGACCTAGACAGGATAATGATGAAGAGGAGGTTCTTGGTAACAAGTATAGGTCAAAGTTAAATGGAGGGTTCTTGAAGGAAAAGAATTTGAGGATTGAGATCCCGGCAGTAACAGAAGATTAACAGATGGCGAGTTGGGGATGAGGAAATTTGCCATCAAGAATTCGTTCCCAGGTGGTAGCGCTCGGCTTGGAGAAGGAGTTCAATCACCCAATGCCCAGGTAAGAATTTTGGTATCTTTCTACACTTTATAAGGTAAAAGATACATGGATTTTTTTATAGACGTTAAAATTTGACTCATGAACTACTGCAGTTGGTGATCAATAGTGTAAAATAACAGAGTTGCCATATATATAATAAGTATATATATACATAATATTATCATTTGGTGTCCAATTTATTATTTAGTCTGTAAAACATTCCTTCCCTGAAAAATAAGATCTTGAACACCCTGATCTTATAGTATGAATTGTAAAGATGGGCATTTCCCTCATCTTAACCTTGTTATCCAATCAATCCTTGAAAAGGATTGTGCTAAAAGTGTTGGTTTTTATGACAAGTTGACATTGGTGGTAATTTTATAGGGATCTTGAGTTCTTGGCTTACTTAAAGGTAGAAGATCTTGGTGTTGAATTGAAATTGATGTTTCCTATAGAACTATATCAATCTTTTAAAAGCTTTATTTTTAAGATAATTCATTGTGCTGGAAATTGATGAGTTGTACAGGTTACTCCTGTCGACTCTAAAAGCATTCATGTAGAGGTAGAACATACGGGTACGACCAAAGTGCACCACCTATAATTGAGATTGAAAGAGAAGTGAAGAGCTTTGCAGAAGTTGAGCAACATTAAGTAAGAATTTCCAAGGAGAGGGAATCAGAATTTGATGGTAGGAAAGAATGTTCAGCAGATGATAGCAAGATGCAAGCTTTAAAAGACACTGGTAGCGAGAGGTGACAGTTAGCTCTTTTTTCTTCCGTGCTCAGTACAGTGCACACCTTTTGTTTATGACTTGCCATTAATTCCAGGCGTTTAATTTTATTGAATTGGCCTTTTACAGTACAAAAAATACCACAATTGGAGGAGTGCAAATCCCTTATGTGATTTGTGGATGGAGTATATCTATATATATGTTAAGGGTTTAATTTTTGTACTTCTGCTTATTACAGAGTGGACCTATTGTGGAAACTCTAGCATATGATTTGCTTTTGGAGGATGCTATGCGTGCACTACATTTTCATTCCCGGAACTTGAGGTTGCATGGACCTTTGAAATGGTTGTTGACTGAATTTGCGGATACTTTCAGATGTTCTTTTCCTTGTTATAGGCGCTTATATGCAAATCTTTCAATTTATTAGGCTGCTAGAACTTGTTAAGCTGTCTTTTGTGGATTTCTTTTGATGTATTTACTTTTTCTCTCCTTGCAGTTACCTCTCACATGTTATGGATGTAACTACTCCGACAAAGAACTGCCTAGAGCTTGTGAATGAGTTACTTGTACTCATTTTAAAGGTAAAAGAGTGAGAGAAATTAGACAAGGCAGGAGGTATGCCTCTCCAGATTTCAATATTTTCTCGGGAAGTTTGAAATACTGTAGCTGTTGAGTAATTATTTGTCTCCTTAGTTTTTGGTAATATTTGGTTTCATTGCTGGGAAAGAGAAATAAGCATGACTTTGTTTTCCTGATTTGATGATAACGTTTCACGGAAGGTTTTATGAAGCTGCTTTCTTACAATTATTTTCACGTGCCTTGATGTTTGACATCTATATTAGAAGTATATCATATCCGGATGTTCTTATGATGAAAAGACACATTCTGCTGGTCATATTTTGTAAACATGGTGTAATGTCTCCTTAGTTTTTGATAATATTTGGTTTCATTGCTGGGAAAGAGAAATAAGCATGACGTTGTTTTCCTGATTTGATAATAACGTTTCACGGAAGGTTTTATGAAGCTGCTTTCTTACAATTATTTTCACGTGCCTTGATGTTTGACATCTATATTAGAAGTATATCATATCCGGATGTTCTTATAATGAAAAGACACATTCTGCTGGTCATATTTTGTTAACATGGTGTAATGGCTGCCAAGGAGCTAACAAAGTTCAGAAGTAAAAGCTTATATCCTTTGAGACACACATAGCTAGCTGGATAAAGATTAACAGTACAAGAAATTTACAAGTGATTGTGCTAGCATATTGTCAGGTACCTTTGATATGTACCTGGTGCATGTTAAAGTGTAAACAGATGAGAGAAAAGATTATAAAAGAAATGAGAAGACTACAGGAGAGAAGGAAGGAGAAAGGCTAAGCAGACCCGAGAAAGATTTGAATTAGAAGAATCTTTTCTTTGCATTAAGACTTACCGTGGTGATAAAATGTTCTACAGAATACATATAGCCTACAAAAACTAGAAAAATCACAAAAGTCCCTGCATGGGTTGGGTCCCTTATCTCTTGATTTGGGGGAGCTACTTAATAAAATTCATTAAGATGTGGGGCTAGGTTGGATTGAGAGAGTGGTTATAGAAATCCAACGGTGGAAACTTTCTGTTTTACATCTCTGGCATGTCTCACATTTTTGCACTTATTCCACTACATTTTCTTTCATAGCAGACCAGAAAAATTGTTATTTGAGGAGTTCATAAATGTCTCTGATTCTCTGTCATGGCACCTTTGGATTAGTTTCTCCTAATTCTCCTAATGTTTTAATGACCAACCTATCCTTGTATCTCAATATTCTTGCCTTGAGTTGATAGCATGGTAGGGCATCCTTCTTAATTAGAAATTGTTTCATTAGTTCTTCAGTAAGAGGATCTCCGTGGTAGCTTGTCGTGATTTTTGCGAGCCCAGAGGGTGAATTAGCGGTAACTGCCGATAGCTTTACCACCTCCTCTTTTTTCTTCTGATTTTCATATTTTCTTCTGGAGAGTGCATTAATCATCTTGTTTTTTACACCTTCTTTTGTACTAAATAGAGTAGTTCAATCCCAACAATTTTACAATTTCCTTTTGTTGCAGCATGAAAGTTACCATTTGTTCCATTAGGTGTTTAAAACTTTTTTTATCTGTTTTTATGATAAAGGGAGCATCTTCCAAGTAATGTCTCCATTTGCTAACTGCATAACGGATGACAAATAGCTGTTTTTATGATAAAGGGAGCATCTTCCAAGTAATGCCTCCATTTGCTAACTGCATAGAAGATGACAAATAGCTCTTTTTTGTAAATCAATAGCTTTTGATTCTTTTTATAGAAGCCCTTGCTAATATAGACAATAGGTTTTTTTCTTGTACAAGTACAAGCTCTACTCCTTCACAAACATCAGCTTCCAGATTTAATTATTTAAAATATATCCTGAGAAGCCCTATCAAACCCTTACATTTGATCTAAAGAATAATAAAGTTAAGAAAAGTGTTCTGTGTGGCAGTAAAGAGGAGTTCTCTTAAGCCCTTAGGTTTCATTAGTTACCCTCGCCAAAGAAGTTACTGACTGAGACAAGTATTATATGCTTTTGTAGTGAGAGTTGGATTAAAACATGATACATTGGGGGATAAAAGATTACGAGAA